ATCCTGGTTTATCTTTTTTTTAAAGAAAATAACGTTATGCAGACAGTCTGTAATGCACTGTGGTTTCGATGTGCAATAGTTTGTACAATGGTTTATTCCCAAATATGCCTTAAGCAGAACAAATGTTTTCTATATAGTTCTTTACATAATAAATATGTAATATAAATTTAAGCAAACTTCTATTTTGTATATTTGTAAACTACGAAGTAAAAATGAACATTTTGTTGGAATTTGTATTTTGCATATTCAAGTGGAAAATAAGTTTTAAATAAACCTATAATATTTTATCTGAATGGCTGCTCTAATTTTCCTCTGTGCATGGATATGTCCAAAGAAAGTTTATTAAGTATTTGTTAGTGGTTGAGTTACCCAAGGCAAAGGGGGGTGGCGGCAAAGGGTTTTATAGTCTTAAGACTCTGCAAGATAGGATTGTATAAGTGCAGTGCTTATGTAACACATCATTTTAGGGGAAAAAGGTGTACTGAAAATTTTTGCTCTGAATATTGAATTGCCACTTACCTCACCTGCATCATGAAACTGTAATTTACCATTTTTAAGGTAACTCAGTTTGAATTATTTGTTAGAGAAAATAAATCTGTTGGGGACGTTAGACTTTGCATATTCAAAGATAACAAATTCTAGAAAATGTTTTTGCAGTGGCCTTTTCAGCATGAAAAATCTCTAGCTTCATTTTCTTGGGCTCCTCAGGTAAGCTGGTGTAATCTCATTCATGTGAATGAAGGAAAATCAACTGAGTAATGTTGCGAAGAATAAACTTGACTCAAGGAATAAAGAGTGTGTGCATAAAACACCTTTTAGCAATAAACTACATGGAATTTCTTCTGAAGCCTGCTCTGTCCTGGGAATTCAGTAATTCGGCAGTATCTGAAGAGCCAAAATCCTGGTATGCATGCATGACTTGGGAAGGCTGACCGTGCAGCGTCTACAAACCAAGTAGCTGTACGTTCAAGGTGTGTTGCTGTAAGGTTCCCGGTGTACCTTCAGTTGCACTCACTGTGCTGCAGTCAAATGCAGCGAGCCTGCTGCATGCCTCAGGTCGTTACCATTTTTGTTGTAGCTGTCCTCAGGGACCTCATTGCTCTAGTTTCTTTATAAATGTGTAGCAGTAAGATGATTTCAACATGAATGCTCGATGAATAGGACCTGTTTTTCTCACTACTCGTTCTAAAGAGAAGAAAGAAATGATTCCTCTTCCACTGGTTTAAAATGTCAGTCAGCTAGGAATTTGGGTGTATGTAATGTTCAATAAAGCTGAGCATGGAAAACAAATCACAGGCAAGAGCCATTCATATTTTTGCAGTAGTTAAAACAAGAGTGGCAATATCAACTTTTTGTTCCCAGATGTGCCTTAGGAATGCTATTAAGTTTCACATTTTGATGCGTTCTTTGTGTGGTGACTGGTGCCATTTCTTTATTTCTAAGTCCGTGTAAGTAACATAACGATGCAGAAAATATTTCTCATCCCTTATCTCCTAGCCATGCTTTGTTCAACTGAAAACTATCTTTGTTGGTTTGGTTTGTAGGTAACATAGGGGTAGGGAATGTCTTGTTTGGTTTGCAAATAGCAAGTATTTAAAGCTAAATTAAAGTTATGAGTCACCCTTTATCTGAAGCTTTTTTCATGTGAAAAATTTTTACAATTAAACCAGCCATTTTTTTTACCTCCTCTGTTGCTCTGCCTCTGGATTCTGGATGAGAGATTTGAGGTCAATGTTGCAACTGGCACGTACTGTGTGCCTGAAGCGTGTTGTCCCGTCTCAGTAACGCTGGAGCACGCTCGGGTAGCTGCAGGATCACCTTTGTCTGTACGGCTGCCATTCAGAACGTTTTACATCTGTGCGAGGTCTACGTCCTAACACATCCGTAAGTACTGAAATCAGAAGATTTCATCTGAGAAACTTGTTTCTTTTGCTTTTCACGTGTTCTGTCATTATGCAGCCTTAAGAATTTTATAAGATGCTCTAGCATTTAGTAATGCATTATCTGCTTCAGCCAACTTCAGTTTCTGCTTGATGATTTTATAGACCCTAGGTTTATAGTTGCACGAACAATGCAACAACACGTTCTTGAAACAGGGCTTTGTTCTCTTCTCCCACTTGATTCCCCCCCC